AGATAAAAAAAAAAATTGGGATACTCTTTTTTCGATATACAACAGTCCTAGGGGGTGAAAACATTACAATTCCGGCTTTACTGTTTTTGGACTACCCGAATGTGCATACATATCACACACCATCTTAGAAAGGGCCAGAACTCTAAAAAAAAAATAAAATTTTGTCGATTTTCTTCATAAATCAATAAGTAGGATTTATCTCCAATTAATGCAAATATATTTTTTCAAAAGATTTTAATCTCTAACTAGAAAACTACTGTTATATCGGTTGTTGTATTAATGGCGTTGAATCTGTACCATCCATAAACAGTTATATTTTCGGATCTAATTTTTGAGCTGTGCCTCTTTTAAGTATGGTGCACAGTTGGTGCTAATGCATATTTGTTGGAAATTTGCCTTCGATTCCAAATATTTATAACCAATGCTGCACTTTCACGAGTAGTTAAATTCCCTACATGGCGATTGTAAAAAAACACTAAGTTTTTGTTTATTCGATAGTACCTTGCAACCAAATATTTGAGAACATTCACTTCCCTTTTGGAATTTGTATTAGCACCCCCTGCGTTTCGATTACCTTACAAAAATTAGTTGGATTTAATGTAACGTCATTCGTTGTTATGTAGGCATAGCTGAGTATTTAGATTTGAAAATTTAAAGCGCTTAGAAGCAATAAGACAACACAAAACTAATTTTGATGCGGAAAACTTTTAAGCTGTTTTCGATATACATTTTTATGCTGATTATGAATTCCTTGATAAAAGGTTTCCGTCGGCTCCTGATTTTGGGGAAAAAGGGGTCAAAGTGATAAGTTTCTATCTGATGGAAGCTTTCTGTCAATCGGACTCAAATTTTATAGTTCATAGTTTTCCAACCGCGTTTTAAGATGGTGTCCCAATTAAAAAGTAGATTGTATCTTAGCTTAATAGAAAATGGGTCCACCTTAATATATATACGTTCATTTCGAAAAAAGGATCTGCTACAATTTTCGGACTTAAAAATTTGGAATCCTGGGACATTTTCTAAAAACCTATTCGTTCTGAAGGCGACTGTGTTCATATACATAGCTACATCAATTTAAAAACCGCGGAACGGCTTCACTCTTACTCAGGTGTATATGGCATATGAGTAACAAGCTCATCATACAAAAAATGATTGGGCATTTCCATTTTTAACACTCATTCCTTCTTTCCTTATACATTGATTTCCCCATTAGTAGCCGGATTTTTTTGTAACAGAACAGGCTTTAAAACAAACTAGTATCGCCCCGTTGTCGAAATTCGACCACCTCACTTTTTTACAAAATTTCTCATTTTGCTTGGGAAGTTTTTATGTTCATTATTGTCTAGGTCACTTATATTGTTTGGTAAAGTAATATACATTCTGTTAAATAATTTTAAAATCCATAGCAGCAGTAGGGAGGAATAGATTTGTATGAGATTTCATTCATAGGTTTAATTACTTGTGTGTACCTACAAGTGTTTTCCAAAATCACCTCACAGCTGACATTTCTTGCAGAAGCTTTTAAGCAGAAAAGTAAGCCACAATTGCTTTGTCAGTACACTCGGAGGGTTCGCGCAGCTTTTTTACTAATGAGAAAATTTTTGTCCCTGGTAAATCATTTAACAAACGAAATGATAAAGTGTACGTTCAGTCAGCTGATATCATCTTAACAGTGAATACCCAGCTTCTCTAATAAAGGCTCGAATTAGTATGGTCTAAAACCTAGCAAAAAATTGTATTAGAGAAATTACAAAATGCTCTTAATAATCCTTAAAATGCCTAAGATTTACGAATTTAAAATAAAGCCTGGTTTTACCTACTTTTGCTATTATCCATTCAATCATCTACCATCATTTAGGGGGGGGGCCCAAATTTTATTAGAAATGGTAAAAGATAGCTGTTAAAAATTTATAATAATTTACCTCATTAATTGTTTTCCCTTTAACCGACTTCAAAAAAGAGAGTAGGCTATCAATTCATCGGAATATTTTTTTATTTATTTTACTGCATAGCTTTGGACCACATTAGCCGGTTTCGATAATTCTTTTTCTGGTGCCTCAGACGAGGTCCCATACGAATTTGGTTATGAACCGATTATTGGTTCATGAAGAAATTAACGGTACTTCTAAGTTATTATATGGGAATTGAAGTCGGTTGTGTTTTTTGCTTAAAAATTACTTGTTATTGTAACAATTGATTTGTACCGAGCCTTACAGAGGAATTTATAATGCATCAAGTTTATTATGAACTTATTGAAGAGTTAAAATACAAATTTGTTAGTTACCTTAATTGCAAGCAAAATTTTTACACCAAAATCATATTTTTTTCATTATTTTTAACCAATTTCAAAGTAGATAACCTCCTCCATATATTCTTCGAAATACTTTTTTTTATGTACATATGTTACCGCATAACCGATTTTGATAATTCTTTTTCTGGTGCCTCAGGGGAGGTCCCATCCTAATTTGGTTCAGAACCGAATATTGGATCATGAAGAAATTAACGGTAGTCTTAAAGTTTTACGTGAGAATTGAAGCCGCTTGTGTTTTTTGCTTAAAAATTACTTGTTTATTTAAACAATAGTCTTGGCATGTCTTCTACAAATCGATAAATTGTTCTAGTGATGATTTAATTTTTGTTTTTTCTACAAAACCTCTGTGAACGCCAAGCATACCTAAACCTAAATTAAAGTGCAAACTAAGAGAAAATATTGATAGATAATAATTATCTTACCTTTTTTTTAAGTAAATGACTGTTTATCAGACTAACAAAAGTAAGCCCCCCGCCCGTACCTGCGTACGCACATGTCATCTACAACTCATACTATCAGATCATTTATCGTTAGAGATAGACTACGAATTATCTGCAAGAGAAATTTTATAAAAAGTTCATTAAAAAAAGTTGAATTAGGCGTATTCCTTTTTCTTCCGGACTTGTATCCAAAAATGTATAAGCTCCTTTTTGTTTTGGAAGCTTCTACAAGTTTATGTCCATCATGGTTTTTGCATAAAAAGAAATGCGCTTGTACAAGTGAAGCGGAGTGTATTTGGAATTTCTATCTCTGACGAGAAATCATTTGAAGTATTTTGTAGATTATTAAATGGAAAACAGCAAAATAGTCCGGGAGCTAGCGACAGTTTTTAGTGACTTATTTTATCGTCGATAAAAGTAAGATAAGACAACGCCTTCCTAGAGCATTATCATAGTGTAATACAAAATTTAACAATTAACACTGGACGATGTCAAAATTTGATCACCTACACTTATTTAGCGGGACAATGTACCGCTTACAAGCGTGCAAAAATATCAAAATTTTGGACAAAATCGACCTAAGATATCGCACTTTAAGTTTATCATGAACATAGAGTAAGTACATGTAAAAATAATGTGCTTACATCACATCCGCGGAACAAACCTATTGTAAGTGATCGGCAAAGTCGCCGCCCCACAATGCTTCCCTTCTATATAAAATGTGGGCAAAAATAGAATTATGGACGGATTTACATGAAAATGTGCTTCTTAATAAAATTTAGGACGTTAAATTCAAAAATGCAATTTGTTTTTGACTAACTTACATACTTTCACTGCAAAATGCGGTTTGAAGTAAAAAAAGTACAAAAAACAATATATATGTATTATACCCAAAGTCATTTTTTCCCCATGTCATAAAATCTGCACCGTTCATTCGGCTTTAGGTGCTGGACCTACCGGGACTTACCGTCCATTTTTGGAAATTTATGTTCGATTTTTTTTTTATATGAAAAAAAATGCGGAGCACCCTCAACAGAAAAATTGCCAAAAATCAACGGTAAGTCCAAGATACTTAAAATTTGCACTGTACTTTATTAAAATTTGATAGGCTATAAAACTAAATACCAAAATTTTGGCTAAAGACGCTGATCAAGAAGTTAGAAATTTTAGTCAAACTTTGCAGAATTATCATAACTTTTGCACAAAGTCTGAAAATTATTGAATTTATATCGTGTTTGTTAGGTAATCAGCTATATTTTCATAAAGAAATAATAAACGTTAAATAAACTAAATTGAAATGAATTTTATAAATCAAATTTTAAATTCGTAATCAGTGACTCCGAGAGTTCTAAGGTATAAGTTTCATTACAATCTATAATTATTTTAAAAAAGTGGCCTTTTTGAATTTCCAACAATTTAATATATATTTCGAAATCAGTGATAACAAAAACCTCTAAATATCAACTTCCATTGAAAGCTGTCAAATACATATTGAGTAAACATTTTTTTCGTCCTATATTCTTGATTCGTTCCTATGTGCGGCGGCGTTTTTGCCGATCACTTACAATAGGTTTGTTCCGCGGATGTGATGTAAGCACATTATTTTTACATGTATAATGCGTTACTCTATGTCCATGATAAATTGAAAGTGCGATGTCATAGGTCGATTTTCACCAAAATTTTGACATATTTGCGCGCTTGTAAGCGTTCGTCTAATGTTAATTGATAACCACAAAATAGGCCAACGACGATAAAGTTAAGTTATTTCTAATTTTTTTATTACACAATGTGAACCCTCCTGACCCCAAAAGGTCCCACGGTGCGATGTAAGTGTCATTTTTTGATAATCTACAGCAGTAAATTTAAGTCCCCGATATGTTGTCTTTGACGATAAAATCGGCACATTTTTTACTGTCGCTAGCTCCCTGACTAAAAGTATGTATGTAGTGTAAAACCAAACATGTTTTTTAATTCACAAAACTTAAACTTTTTCCGATCCTTTGTTTAAGTTTTTAGAATACTTTTATGTCTCAAGTAACCAAGCAAATATTGAGATATAAATGATTCTTTGACGAGTCCTATTCCATAGTGCTCACACTCATAATAAGCTCTTTTCAGAGCCCGAATACTTAGGACTCATTTCAGACTCACAGAGAATAGGTTCGATAATTCTTTCGTAATAATTTAAACTTCGGATTTCCCAATTCAATTATGCTTTATTTCAAGACTATCCTCCTTTATATTTACAGGAAGAACGTAAAGCAAATGGAAGAGTGGTTGCGCTCGCTTTAGCATTTCTGGTCATATTCATTGCTCTCTATAATTTTTATCTAAAACCATGGTTGAGCGATACACAAAAGGATTTCCATCTGACTGGAATTTTGGGGCCGCTGCTAATTATGATTGCTTATGGTGGATGGGTAGCATTGCTGGCGAAGCGTGATAAACAGCGTCAAGTGTTATTTGTAGGTCTCAATACACTGGTAATATAATCAATAGAACTCTAGCATCTCTTCCGTTTCATGTAGGAACAACATTTGGAAGAAGTTATGGAACGAAACAAAATTGAGTTAGCGAAAAAGGCAAAATTGCTAAAGAAGAAGAAGAAAATGGAAGAAGAACAACGCAAAGCGAATGAGAAAGTCGCAAAACAACAGCGGCTTGGCAGTCATCGTCCCAGTTTTCGAGAGAAGCTGTTCGGTCCCCGGACGCCGGCGCTGCAGCCTTCAACTAATTTTCTGACAATTGCTGTCACTGCGGCGGCACCTTCGCAAATTGTGGTGGAATCAAAGAAGAATCGATTGGAACGTATGGATGCCTTAGTGCTACCTCATCCGCCTGTGCGTACAGGTTCAGCGCCATAGTTGGCAAACAGACGTGTTCACACACGAGAGAGTGCCAGTATGCTCTGGCAGAAAGTCAGTGCAACTATGAAAAATGTTACCAAAAACATTTAAAATGGGCATTTTATATATTTGAAATCTTACACAACATTTCAATATATATTTTTTTTTATCTGTTTATCTTTCAAATGCGCATCTCCTACATTTCTAATTTGTTCATTAATTTANGAATGCTGTCTGCTTATCTTTCAAATGCGCATCTCCTACATTTCTAATTTGTTCATTAATTTAGATTTTTATTTTCATAAACACAAACAACTGTACATACACCCGTAAAAATTTACTAAACATATATACAAATCTATAAATAAACCTCTTTGAACAAAAAATCGAAAATTATATTTTAAATTTATCCTCAGTTAACCTTAATCTCCGTCCGTTTCATATTTTGTTTTATGCACGATCTTTCGTGAGGATCAGTTTGGCTTAAACCTATTTCTAAGAACGATCACCTCGTTAATCATCATAAATTTACATGGGTATGTTTGGATAGGTATATGTATATGTACATTTGTTGTATGTAGCACATCAGTATTCTTAAAGTGCATTTACGCATATGTGTGTATAGTAAAATAAGATTTTGAACTGGTGCTATTACAAATACTTCTATTTATATATATTTCTAAGCATAAAACGATCACCTATTGCATAAATAAAAGTTTTATAAAATAATTTCAAAAGTTATAATTATTCTTCATTTTTCGCATACAAATTCTTTGGTTGGGAGTTATTTCGCAAGGATTTTTTCCTGAATCGTAAGCAATAATAGCCGTCACCGATTCGCCAACAGCTAGCGAGTGGTGAAACCATGGTTCAATAACTACAGGTTGTAGTAATCGTACAAAAACAACATTTACCGTTGGAACGGTCGGGCATAGCAGTATATTTTCTCGATTGCCAGGTTAGATGAGACTGATATGACCTCTCATTTTTGAAATTCAAAAGAACGCTGAAAATTTAATGAATATCACACAAAATGCCTTCCCGTATAATACACGTACATATATATACCTATACTTTTAGATCGATATGGTTTTTTTTTTTGGAAAGGTGGCCACCCTAATTCAAGATATTTTTAAACTAACGCTTTCATAAATTTCTTTCGATTCACACCCATATCTAAACATTTTATAAAACGTACGTTAATTAAATTCAACTTTTCAAACAGATGGGAGTCCTTCAAACTAAAATCTTCTTAAATTTCTTTCGACTGATATTGTGATACACGTGTGTTTCAATAGCATATGAACTAATTTGAATTTTATTGTTCAAACACGTTGCAACCCTCCTAAATAAAGGTAAGAAATAAACCGTTTTCGAACCCATTTCGATTGATACCCATCCTTTAGTAATTGGTCGAACTCATTGAATAATTTGAATGCAACTTTTTAAACACGTGACAGCCCTTCTCAAATGTTCCAAATCTTCAGACTAAATATTTCTTAACACTCTTTCATTTGATTCCCGTATTTATATAATTCACATAAATTTTGCATTAGTTAATTAAATTAAACATTTCAAACAGATGGCAGCCCTCTTGAAAAGTATTTTTGAAACCCCCTTATCATTTGACTTATCAGATACTTTGAATTTAACTATTTTAACAGGTGGCAACCCTTTTCCATCACCTCAAATATAGTCTTAGCGCAGAAAATAGAGATTTCCTAACACACTTTCGTTTGACATTCATATTTTGCATGTTTCATATAATTTGTGTATAAGTTAACTTAATTCGACATTTCAAACAGGTGGCAACTTTGTTCAAAATATTTTCAAACTTCTTAAAACCATTTCATTTGGCACCCATATCATCATACATACATACTTCTCTTACCTATTTCCTTTAATTCAAATTGAATTTTATTTTTTAAACAGGTGGCAACCCTCCTATAGTTAAGTTAAAAAACAAAGCTTTTCAAAACCATTTCGATTAATACCCATTTTGAATAAATGATAAATTTGTTTAAATAATTTGAACATGGATAATTTTTAAAAGGTGGCAACCCTTTTCAAAAAAATGCTTATTGCACATCTACAGCCCGAGTCCTTTAAAGGGTGTAAGTTAATTTGGGAAAGAGATCATCGATTACATTCATATCTACACACACACACACACACATATTTACTGAAAATAAGATACAAAATAAATCCTTTGTGCTAATTTTTGTGCAAGTCATGAAAGCTTTTCTTTTAGCATCGCATTAGGCGTTTATTATTTCTCACCTTATAAAAATATCTTAACACGAAATATACTCAATATAAACATGAAAACAGCAATAAAAGCGTATACAGAATACATACTACGAGCGTCTAATATGATTGCTACTTGATTCATTATTTAGATGCTATAATATAAATAAATTTTTATTATTATATTTTTAAACATACCCTCACAATTATGGGCAAAATAATAATCATTTAGTACAATACAAAAATAAATTTGTTTTCAATAGAAAGACAACTAGATAATTTTTATACTGTGTAACAATGAATATGATTTTTTCGATTGACCTAGCATGTGCATTAACTACAAGATATTTCTTAAACCCTCTAATTATCAGCTTACTGAAACTCATTGCATATTGCATAACTTCGTTGATAAAAAATTTTTTTTTTTAAATATTGGCTAAAGATTTTCGAAAAATTTCCGACGAAGTGGAAGCTATGTATGTACATAAGACTGCACCTTATTTGCTATTATTTTTTCTTTAACTCCAAGCATTATTCAGATAATTCCATACTTAAGCCCAGAATCGCTTAACATATAAATACCCGAAAATTCTTAATTGCGAAAAATAAAGCGAAAAGATTTTATATACGAACACTCACGGCAAAAAGTATTGGCACCGAAAATTTTCCACAATGTGTGCAACATGTTTTTTTTTTTGCTAACTTATGCAGCTTAGCTGCACATTAAACTTTGGCATAATGCCAGCCTGAAGTTGGTAAAAAATCACGGTGATTTCTGAAAATTTTTTCGTTGAAGCTGTTTCGCATTTTTTCCATACAAAGTATTTTCGAAAAGTCGAAATATGCGTAAAAAATTGCCAAAAATCAACAAATCTTAGCTACTTCAAACTTGCATTTTGCAATACTAAAATTCAATGGGCTACTAAATTACGTACTCAACATTTGCATGAGAAATCACTGAATTTTACAAAAAGTCTAAAAATTTAATTTTAATTTTTTTTAAAGATTTTCATAAAAAATTGGCGGCAAAAATAAATATAAAAATTGTGGCATATATTGCGAACAATTTTCTGTGCCAATACTTTTCTCCACGAGTGTATGTATGTATATAAAAAATTGGAGTATGGTTAAAAGAACGACTAGGCCTACGACTTGTCCTGGGTAATATTTATAAAATGCAAATACAATTTTCTTAATTTTGTTACACCGTGTTAAATATTACTTATCATTGACATATGTATATACATATGTACATACATGCGAATTTTGAGTTATGCATGTGATAGAAATATGATATGTGCTTAACTAAATGCTGACGCTATTTTAATTTTCTCTACTTCTGTATGTACAACAATGACGTAGTATAAGTATTAAAGACCAGTGCGCAATAAATGTATTCGTGAGCGCACAAATGTGTTTTAGCACAGGAATTCCAATGTAAATAAATTGTTTATAAATATAAACACATAATCTGTATAGACATATGTACATACTTAAACAGGTACACATGTAGGTACATACATATATATGTATGTATGTAAAGTAACAATTTATACTGCATACCAAAGCGAGCCATCTTTTGATTGCTTGGGAACATTAAAATAGATTAACATTACTCATACGCCATGTTGGTCGTGGTATTAACGAATTATTAGTTTCCTGCCATACTCGCATACATAGTGTGCAACGAAGAAAACATATAAAAATGCGTTCATGCACATCTTCTGAATATTCAAAGGAATTTACTTTTATTCAAAAGCACAGGTGTCTGACATTGAAGATGCAAATACATAGGTATAAAATCTAGAATTCAAAACCAAAAGCATTTTTCCAGGCCTCGTTCTGTGAAAAGTGCTGAATTATTAAATTGGTTCAGGTGCATCTATGTATAAATATTTACAAAAATAATGCATATGTAAATGCAAGTGTAATAAGACTAGGTAAGCACATTGTTATTTTAGAAATGGGTATGCAGTTAAATTTACATTACCTGAGGGAGATTGCTTCAGATATTTTATACTAAATAATAAATAATAAAAAAAAGTTTTTATTAACACATATGTATATATGTATCTATATATATGTTTATGTGCAACGGAAATGGTTGGGGCTGAAACAAGTGCTTCTTGTGTGTATACATATGGTATTAATTGAACAAAAATTTGCTAATAAAAGGTTTAAGAATAACACTTTGAAAAAGACCAATACAAGAATGAAAGTAAAGGTGAGTACGTACATAAATAAAGAAAAGGATGAAGGCAAAGGTAAAAATAAAAACAAAAGCAAAAATGCGTAAAGAAAATGAAAACCAAGGTAAATTTAAACACTTTACTTATATATGTATGAATGTAAGGGCAAAGGTTAAGGGGAATTAGTACATGAAGAAAATCATAAACATAAAAGTAAAAACAAAGATGAGGATGAGGATAGCGATAAAAGTGAAGACGAAGATGGGGGAAGAAAGATTAAAATGCAAGTAACTAAAGAGGAATCGATATAGAGAGAGACACAGAGACTCAATCTGGGAACTATTTTGGGCTTATAGAAATTTTCGGGATTCTCGAGACCCATCGATGAAATAATTGATATTTTTATCGGTTTTGTTATCGATATTTTGAAAGATTTTGTTATCGAAATTTTTATCGATATTTTCGGGACTTATCGATATAATAATGGATATTTTTATCGACTTCGGTATCGATATTTTTATCGATTTGCTATCGATTTCGTAATCGATATTTTTATCTTTTTTGTTAGCGATATTTTTTATCCATTTTCTTATCGATATGTTATCGTTTATGTTATCGGTTTTGTTATCGATATTTATCGATTTTGTTATCGATATTTATTGATTTTGTTAGCGATATCTATCGATTTTGTTATCGATATTTATCGATTTGTTTATT